GTCAATTCGAGTCTGTTCCAGACTCCTGTCCATCTTCTAGGCCCTGGTTTGGTCTTGGTGGACCCATAAATTTTTATATATAAACTTAAATTTATATTATTAAGTGGGTGCAGTTTGTATAAAGCTTAGACTCTAAACAATTAAATTAGAGCTTACCTTCAAATAGTGTTGAGAAATGTGGTTTCAATATGGGAAATCTTTGTGATAACCTTGAAATATATATTTTTCTTTATTTCTAAAGTTTAAAGTTTTAAAAATAGTGTGGATAGACAGATCTATGAAACCTTGAAAATCTTGAAAATTGATAGTTCAAAAATGTGTTACAAAATACATTATTTCCAAAGCTTGAAATCTATTTTTTTTCTCATGTCCATGCATCTTGATGTCCATACATCAATTTGGACATCGAAACAACCTCTTCTAATGACATTTTCGTGGTCGGCTCCAATTTTATTGTTTAAAGCCTCCGCTCTATATAAACTTTTCCCTTAATAAATACATATAATATATTTTTTAAAACATTATATTTCACCCTAAACTCACCCGACCCAAACCGATGGCTCGAAGTCCAACCATGGACATGTTGGTCAGGCCTGATCCAAACCCAACCCAACCCATTTATACCAGGGAGAGGGTGCGAGAGACAGTACCTGCTGATGCTGCTTGGACAACGTTTCCACCTGAATCTCTCGTAGAGAGAAGTAGTGTTGTGGTGTAGTTGGGGTGCTCTTTATAGAAATCTTGAAGGGCCATGCTTATGCACATATTACCCACTCTCCCAATCCATGTATCCATGGCCAAAACCACCCCCACATTAACACTACTTGATTGGGCTCTACCCGTTGCCACACAGAAGCACAGGCACAAAAGAAGAAGACTCAAAAGAAAACTTTTCGCCATCTCTCTTCTACCACATCCTGTCTTTCTTGATTAGAAGGTTGGATACAAAAAGCTTGAGGACATATAGAACCCAAAAGCTTGAAATATTAACACAAATACATTAGGAAGGTTGATTGTTCAAGTCATATTTTAAGGGCATTGTCTCTTTCCTAAGAGTCCTAAAGTCTCCATTACTATTACGGTCTTTGCTTTCTGAGAAATTGAACCACCTACCAAGACTCTTTGACTGAATGCTTCTTGCCGTGCAATTCCCCCCCGGTTACTTGAGGCTTTGACAGATGACCAAGTAGTTAATAGAAATAAAATTCAAACAAGATAGCTAGAAGATTTTCTTACATGCCAAAACATATTGCTGATTATCTAGGTGTATTTTTAGGACCCCGAATTTTTCGGATGTAACCTCCTCAACATAGTGGTCAACTTCATAAAAGGAAAAAGTTCATTTGCGGTCTATATGCGCCGGACAAAATATAAGACCCAATAATGAAGGGTGACCATTAAATTTAAGTATTTAAGAACTTGAATTCATTATTTTTAGAAAATCTTCATTAGATGATTCTAAAATAGATCTTAAAATTATAGATAAAAAAATCCTTTATTGTATGCAAGACGATTTCCGATCCAGATTCTTTGATTTGGATAAGAATTGGTCAGAACCAATCATTCCAGGATGATATGGGTCGAGGCTCGATTCCCCCTAAAACCCCCCACTTACATATTTTTCTCCCTTTTTTGTTTTTTTTAAAGCTTATGTGATATTTGTTTAGGTACCCCTATATCCCCACATCATAAACCCCTATTTAAATTTTTTATTTTTTTTTAGATCACAGATTCGGGCAAATCCAGACTGATTTTTAGGTGAACAATCGTCCCCGCCAATGTAGGTTTTAAAACACTAACTACACTTATGGGAAATCATGTCCTTGATCGGTGTCCCAAAATACTCTAAGAAGGATTAAGTGGATGATATGCTCGTGCGGGAGTATAAAATCTTTTCTTTTGGCTAGATTATTTACATAGAAAGCACAGGGAAGTTTAACAAAATTGTTATTTAAGTTCCACGCATCTATCGAGCTTATGCCAATAACAACAAAATTAGTTAGACTTTTTTTGTAAAGAGGGTCCTACAAGTCACGTTAGGTGATTTGAATAGATTTATCAACCTCAATGTTGAATTTTAAACGGAGAAAAGGTCGAAATTAACCTATGTGTCCTAACATTTTCTACGTAACCTCTAAATGGCCTCTCATTTTCATTGTACTCTCAACTGATCATTTTATAGTACCCATGGACTAGGAGTGGTAGTCGGGTCGGGTCGGGTCGGGTCGACCTTTGGGTATGAATTTAGACCTAGGTGTGAACTCCATCGTAGAATTTAGACCTAGGTGTGAATTTAGACCTTATATGTGCGTGTGTGAGAAATGTACAAAAAAGGTCTAGAATTGACGAACGAATCCAACCCAACCTGACTAGCCAATTGGGGTTCTGGTCCAGCTTGGATCCAGTTGATCCGGGTCCCAGCCACCATCAACATGGCCTATTTATCGCCCCACCTTGGATGTTATTATTGCACTCAAAACCTTTTAAATTGTAGTGCACTATGATCATGTTCTATAGGGAAAATGCTTGAAATTTTTAAAAGAAATAACATGACTAAATACAGGGATTTGGGCATTATCATGTTTTCAAGTCGGTTCATTATTTTTTTAAGTAGTTCTACAAGAAAGAGCTCTCTTAATGTGGTAGAAATGGAAATCAAGATGTCACATTATTACATCCCGCCGCCTTATCCGACTAGGCTTAAAGTCCATTATTAAAAAAATGTAGGTAAGTTTTGTTTGGTTTTCTTGGGACAAATTTCAAGGCTATGGAGTCTTGACCTCCCTCAAACAAACCTATATATCAACCACCAAGCCAAAGTTTAAGCATAAAAAAAGGGGTAGTTCACCTTTCTTTGGTAAGCCAAAGTTTAAAAACCAAAAAAGACGGTTTAGCTTTCTTTGGTTTATGGGGATTTTAAGGATTCGAACCCTTGATTTCCCTCACCCAAAATGGCATAAAGGACAAAGTAATTTAAAGGGAAACATTAGGAGACACGCCAGGTAGGAGAGGAATTTTAAGCTGGTATAACTAGTATTTTAGTTGCAATTTACTTTTACAATCAAGCATGATCACATATATAGCCAGAGCTCAAGTCATTTTTTGTCTCATATTTGGTGAATGCATGAAATGTTCAATTTGGTAATGTTAATAATTGAATCATGAATGTGGTTTTGGTGAGTCAGCTATTGCACCCAATTCAAGTGGTCTTCTTCCAAAATATGATTTTTTGTCTAAAATTTAACAAATGGATAATTTCTACATTTTGAACTATTTATTTTAATTCTTTGAAAAATTCTATTTTGACAGGTTTGAATTTTAAATTTTTTTTTCCTATTTCCCAATTCATAATCATAGTAGTCAAGATTATTGCCCTATAAGATTTTAAGAATCTGTCTTTAAAATGTATTTTATTGAAGAAAATTGCTTCATGCAGGCTGGACCACATTTCTACGTTACGCAGTCCAGAGGTATGAAGCATCAATCTTAAAGATGGATGCAAATAGGTGGTCCATGTAAAAACAATTGTAGCTAAGGGTCCACATGTTTTTTAATATAATTATTATTTTTAGTTTTCAATTTATTTATTTTTATATTCATGATCTCTACGTTAAAGATTATATATTCTCTAAAAATTAAGATCAAATTATATTTAAAAATATATTTATTGTCAAGCCCGAATTTTTACAATACGTGGGCTGGCCAGAAAGAAACCGTGTCCTTTTAAATATATTTTACTGGCGCCATTTAGAGTTCCGAACACCATACTTTCGAAAAGGGTAACTTCTGGTATTCTTGAGGAGCACTAAAAGTGGTGCACCACAATTACTAACAATATCGGTCTCCTTGCCTAAAAAACAATCTCCCAAGAAAAAAAAAGAAAAACTTTAAGAAAGGAAGAAATAAAAAATTTGATTTCAGAAATAAAGATTACTAGCCTCATTAAAACCAAACTTTAACAACTCATTTAATAGATAGTGAATCAAAAGGATTTGGTGGTCCAAATCAAATTTTATTCATAAAATCACCGTCTGAATGCTATTTGATAGGTTTTTATAAGGGTTTTTCTAAGGTCAACACACCATGAAATCCTATAAGTTACATATAAAAAGATGGGCGAATAACTAAAATTACTTTAGCTGCCTGTTTCTTTATTCTATTATTATAAAATAAATAAAGGTATTTTTATCATGGGAAAAGTTTATATAAGATTACAACCTTAAAATGTAAAGTTTATATAAGGTTACAACCTTAAAATGTAGAATCATAGATGCACCTGAAAAATCTATCGGAAACATTGCTTTAACGTTGAAAAAGCCCTCTAATCGATCATCTCGACATTGAGATGTATGGATATGAATTTTTTTTTTTTGAGTCCTGGAAATAGCGCATCTTGCAACACAATATCTAAACCGTCAATTTTTAAGCTTTTTATATACTTATAGATCTACTTGAATTTAACCATTTTTTAAATTTAAAATTTTCTAATTAAGTGTGAAAAAAGATTTTAAGATAATACTAAGCATTTTTTATAATAAAATTACATGTTATGATAAATTTTTAAGGTACAACTTAATTGGATTTGTTTAAGGTTGCAACCTTATAGAAACCGTACCCTTTTATCTTTAGCAAGGGTAGTTGTGATATTTGAATTAAACAACAAAGGATATACTTGTTATCTCTAGAAGGTCATAGAGAAAAGCATTTATATTAATGAAGTGCCTTGAACTTCACCGTCTTATCTTTTAGTGAAAATATCAACAATTTTCTTTCTAATAACAAAAATACCTTTAGCTTGTGAGCATTGAATATTAAAACGGATAACTATAGTCTACACCTATTTCTAAATGATGCAGCTTCTATAAGGCGTAGGCTTTATTAAAACAAAGTTGAGCCTAACCTCGAATCCTTGTCCACAAAGCATTTTGGGCATCAGAAATCTTCATGATGGTTTTTAATCAAATTCCAACGCTAAATATAAAAGTTAAAGCTAAAAAAATAGTACAAATCTTGCGAATCCATGAACATTTACTTTTAAGTAGAAATAGACAGTCTAGATAATTTGGTATAATATATATACTATATTTTAAAGGCTTGAAATCCCAATTTTTTCACATCCACGACGGTCAAGGCTGAGATGATTAATTTGAAGGTTTTTCAATGCCAACACTGTAATTGATGCTGAGTTTCGTGGTGAGTCTTTATTTATTTTGATAGGGCTGCAGTCCTATCAAAATATTTTTCCTTTCTAAATTTAACCTATAGGTTGTCATTGGTTGTTGACATTAGAAAAACCCATTTTTTTAATACCTCACTCCCTTCAAATTGATATTTTCAGGGTAGGACAACACCAATATGAACCACAATAGTTAACTTAGGAAAAGCGGCAATAACAATCATAACAATAAAGCCAAAAGCTTTTATACTCTCCCAAGAGCGTGCTATCCATTTACTCCCTTGGATAAAGCCCAGCCTAAGAGCAATTTTAAGATCCCAAAATTTGGGATTAACCTCTTCGACCCATATAGACTAACATCAAAAGAGAAAAAAAAAAAAATACAAAAATGTACTCTCTATGCACCTTAAAAAAAAAAAAAGGAAATTTAAGGTGAACTAGCGGCTGTCCAATTTTTTGAGGTGAGATCTATGTTTTAGAAAATATAAATATTTTATTTTGAAAATAATACTCTAATGTTCCTTAAGTGGTTTTCAAAATTTCAAATTCAAACAAAATCTCTCAAGTATTTTTCCTGAGGGAGTAGATGCACAGTATGCTCCAGCAGAAGCATATAACAAATAAATAAGCACAAGAAAGAATTGATTTTAGGCGGCAATAAGACCATAAATTCTCAAAAAAAAAAGAGAAAGTTTTGTAGCTTCCCAATAACGTAGGTAAGCATTGCATGAAAGGCACATCCACCACCTATTTGAATTGATGCTAATTGACCATGAATTCCAAATTAAACACTCTAAATTCCATCAAATTTTACCTTTCTTTTGGTAGCTATCATGGTACGATTTGTTTGAAAAAATGCCCTAAGAAAGAACGGCGCTTGTGGCTCCATTTAAATAGTAATCCAAATTTGACCAGAAAACAAGACAATTTCTCCTATACTAGACGTAGTCATGCGTAGAATTTCACCTTGCATTGGACTTATTTCAGGAACTTTCAGTGGGCTTTCCTCTAGAGTTCAAGATGTTTGAAGAAGGAAAGCAAAAGTTATTGTTTTAAGATTGTAGACTGAGTCCTTCTAGAGTTTGGAAACATTCAAGAAACTTTGAAGATATAAATAAATATGATAGGGCATGTGAAAATGCTTGCGATGTTTTTCCATTTCAAAGTGAGGAAATATATTTTTTATCTTTTATTTAGGAGTTAGTGTTTCAGCTTGATTGATTAGTTGTTGACTAGGGTAAGTTCGATTCCAGAACTACCCTGATCTCCCCCAGGTAACAAAGAGTCTCTTTTTTTTTATTACTAGTCTTTGAATTTTATTTAAAGTAATAAATTTATGTGCCACTTAAATGTGGTCGCACAATTATTAGGCAATATGAGAAAAGGGATTAAATATCGGAAAATGGTTCGGTAGGGCACTACTACAAAACTAGGGCTGCATCTCTGCAAGTCATTCATTAATCTGTATAGTCCACGTCTCTTGCACTGGTGAATGAGAGAAACCGGGCCCCCAAAGGCCCGGTTACCACAATATTTTTTTAAATTTTCTTTTAGATTGCAATCTTAAACAATCCAATTAAGGCACATCTCAAAATTTTATCATAATATTTAATTTTGGTGTAAATGTTTTCTTAGGATTATTTGAAAATAGATTTTCATTTTTAATTATAAAATTTTAAACTTCAAAAATGGTTAAAATCAAGCAAATCTATAAACATATGAAAATCTTAGAAAATTGATGGTTTAGATAGTATGTACTTTGTAAAGATTAGTACTTATTTATAGTAAATTTACAACTTATACTTTAGTCGTGGGGAGGTC